TCAGAGCGTAGATGCTGCAGGAGATCAGCACGAGTCTCAGGATCTCAAGAGAAGGCAGAGTCCGGCAGATTCAGGGATTAAGCAGAGTCCTCAGAGTCTCAGGAGAAGCAGAGGCGGCAGATCTCAGAGAAGCAGAGTCCAGTGATTCTCAGGAGAAGCAGAGCCCAGATCTCAGGAGAAGCAGAGTCAGGATCTCAGGCCAGAAGCAAGAATCAGGATCTCAGGAGAAGGCAGAGTCCAGGATCTCAGGAGAAGCATGAGTCAGATCTCAGGAGAAGCAGATCCCGAGGATCTCAGGGATGAAGCTTAGAGTCCAGGATCTCAGGATGAAGTCATGATGATTAGGGGGTGAGTCCCAGGATCTCAGGAGTAAGCAGGAGTGCGCAGCAGGATCTCAGCAGAGTCATGAGTTCGGCTAGGTTCGTCAGGAGAGTAGCAGAGTCCTAGATCTTCAGAGAGACAGATCCAGGTGTGATTCTCAGGAGAAGCAGAGTCCGATGCTTCAGGAGAAGGCAAGTCCAGGTCTCAGGAGATAGCAGAGTCCTAGGATCTAGAGAAGCAGAGTCCAGGGAATTCTCAGAAGAAGCAGAGTCCAGGATCTCAGGAGAAGGGCAGAGTCCAGGATCTCAGGAGAAGCAGAGTCCAGGATCTCAGGAGAAGCAGAGTCCAGGATCTCAGTAGTCGTCAGGATCTCTCAGAAGAAGCAGAGTCCAGGATCTCAGGAGAAGGCAGAGTCCAGGATTCAGGAGAAGCAGAGTCCAGGATCTCAGGTCAGAGTCCAGGATCTCAGGAGAAGCAGAGTCCAGGATCTCAGGAGAAGCAGAGTCCAGGATCTCAGGAGAAGCGAGTCTCAGATCTCAGGATGAGCAGAGTCTAGTGTCAGGAGAAGCAGAGTCCAGGAATCTCAGCAAGAGCAGAGTCCAGGTAGGAGTGCAGAGAGAAAGCAGAGTCCAGGATCTCAGAAGAAGCAGAGTCCAGGATCTCAGGAGAAGCAGAGTCCAGAGTCCAGGATCTCAGGAGAAGCAGAGTCCAGGATCTCAGGGAATAGCATAGAGTCCAGGAGATGCTAGGAGAAGCAGAGTCCAGGATCTCTCAGAGAAGCAGAGTTCGGATCTCAGGAGAAGCAGAGTCCAGGATCTCAGGAGAAGAGTTCAGGAAAAGCAGAGTCCAGGCAATTCTCAGGATCTCAGGAGAAGCAGAGTCCAGGATCTCAGGAGCCAGCAGAGTCCAGGATCTCAAGGAGAAGCAGAGTCCAGGATCTCGGAGAAGCAGAGTCCAGGATCTCAGGAGAAGCAGAGTCCAGGATCTCAGGAGAAGCAGAGTCCAGGATCTCTAGGAGAAGGCAGAGTCCAGGATCTCAGGAGAAGCAGAGTCCAGTGATCGTCAGGAGAAGCATGATCCTAGATCTCTATGGAGAAGTCATGAGTCCGAGGAAGTCGTCTGTTAAGATATCAGGTATGTCTCGGATATCTAGTGGAGTAAGTACGAGTGCCAGGTGATCTCAGGAGAAGCAGAGTCCGGATCTCAGGAGAGAGCAGAGTGTCCTAGGATCGTTCAGGAGAAGCGAGAGTCCAGACTCGGTATGATAGCAGAGTTCAAGTGGATCTCAGGAGAAAGCAGAGTCCAGGATCTCAGGAAAGTCAGATTCCAGATCTCAGGAGAAGCAAGTCCAGGATCTTTCAAGAAGAAGCAGAGTCGGATCTCAGGAGTAACCGACAGGAGATCCAGGATCTCAGAGAAGGACAAGGATCCAGGATATGTACGCCAGAGAGAGCAGGCAAGGATCTCCAGAAGCACCAGGCCAGAGGTCAGAAGCGGATCGACATAGCCGAAGATGACAGAAAGGGACACAGTACCACGACGGTTCATTCACAGGAGAGGCAGACAAGTCCAGAGCGCCAGGATCTCAGGAGGAAGGCAGAGTCCAGAGTCATTAACATGAACATCAGGTGCAAGAAGATAAAATCGTCGGGTCGCGTGAGTTTTCGCGCTCTTGTGTGTGTAAATTTGGAGGGCTTGTCGAGTCTACACATGCTTATACGTCGCCTGTAGAATATATTTTGTTTCCTAAGTGATTATACAATTACTTGTTTATTTAACACAGTCAAGAATTATAGCAAACGGCAAACTATCGGCAGCTAACTCGAATTAGTCGATACCGCTATGAGGGTGGATTTTGGAATCGATTTTATAGTTACTCTTAAATGAATTTGATTTATTCATTTACGTCTCCAACAGTGAAACAGCAGGAGATCAGTACGAGATAACGGTGATGTCTGAGTGAATGATGACACATATATAAAAAATGAAAGACATGGAACGTTGGGACTTGCACCTAATTGAGCAGAATTAATATAATGAAATTGCTGATAGCACATAGACAGAGTCACTATGCAAGTATAGTAAGCATACATCACGACACAGTCATATCGCCGCACCAGTAAACATTCTCAATACTTGGGCATAGATATTAGGCTGAAACCACACAACACATTTAGAGGGAAGGAATATAAAGTGTGTGTGTATGTGTATGTGCGTGTGTGGGGGGGGGAGAGAGAGAGAGAGAGAGAGAGAGAGAGAGAGAAGAGGAGGAGAGAGAGAGAGAGAGAGAGAGGAGAGAGAGAGAGAGAGAGAAGAGAGAGAGAGAGAGAAAGAGAAGAGAGAAGAAGAGGAGAGAGAGAGAGAGAGAGAGAGAGAGAGAGAGAGTGAAGAGAGAGAGAGAGAGAGAGAGAGAAGAGAGAGAGAGAGAGAGAGAGAGAGAGAGAGAGAGAGAGAGAGAGAGAGAGAGAGAGAGAGAGAGAGAAAGAGAGAGAGAGAGGAGAGAGAGAGGAGAAGACAGACAGACAGACAGACAAAGACAGACAGAAAAATCCAGACACAAAACCAACCGAAACAAAACATCCACAGAAATAAACAAGAACCAAAAACCAAAAGAAAAACAAAAAGTAACGAAAGAAAGACCGAGAAGGAAGAGATCAAACAATAATGAATTTTTAAACCTCGCGCATTCCCATCGGCCGCCGGAGCCCTCCCGTAATGGTCCCACTTAGCAATTTCACACCCCGTCTTCCCGGCCGTGAGTGGCGACGTCAGACCCCGTGAGAATGCAGCTCATTAGCGGGGTCACACCTGGGGGACGCGCGCCGCTGCCTGCCACGCCTGGCCGCCGCACTCAGGGGGTAGGGTCCGTTTTGGTGCGACACCTTGCCTCGGCAGGGCAATCGGCTTTGGTATGATAATCTGCGAGGTAGGGAGGGCAACTGGCTTCGGTAAGGCAGTGTGATTTGGTATGGCCACCTGTGAGGTAGGGCTCTCTGCTTTGGTATGGCAATTTACTTTGGTATCACAATCTGGTGTGATTTGTTACGTCTGTGGCATTCTACTTGATTATGGCAGTTTGTTCTAGTATGGCAATCTGCTTGATCTGGTATGGCAATCTGCTTTGACTTGGTATGGCAATCTGCTTGATCTGGTATGACAATCTGCTTTGATCTGGTATGGCAATCTGCTTTGACTTGGTATGGCAATCCGCTTTAGTACAGCAAAATGCTTTGCTATGACCCCAAACTTTGATACCATAACCAAAAATGTTATAAAAATCTACATAAATACAACACCTTACTCTAATACAATGACATTCCTTGGTACCACAACTTGCCTTGGATTACCACTACCTACTTTAGCGTAAGGAGAGTTGGCAAAACTGGCATGACTTTGGTACACACGGAGCAGGCAATCTTGTACCTCATTTGACATGCGCATAGTCTTGGTCAAAGCAATTCATGAGGTTCCTGCGAGACGAGAGAATGGCTGTGAATTCGCTCCATTAGTCTGTCTGTTTATGTCGGTCTCCTTATATGTCTGCTGAGGCGTAGTTGCGCAGACATGCAGGCAACGCAGCGGGAATAGCGTGCATAGTTCTGGCTTCTGCTAAGAAAGAGAAGTCGTTGTGGATTTATTAAAGGCAACATGAGGCTAAATGCTTTGCATACTCACACAGGCACACACAGAGACGATAACACACACATATATGTACACACACACACACACACAATCAAACACACATACACAGACACAAACACACACATACACATACAAGCACACACAGAATCGAACACACACTCACACACACACAACAAAACAAACACACACACACATACACAAACACACAATCAAGCACAGAGACATACCCACACAAACACACACAACACGAAAAAAAAAAAACTTGAACACCAGAGTAGAACCCACCTCCCCCTCCCCCACCCACCCCCCCCACCCTTCCAACACATACACAAAAAAAACACCGCCTCTCCCTCATGAACTCCACATGTGAAAGTGAAAAAGGCGCAGGTCCAGGAGGTCGAAGTCAAGATCACAAAACACTCTTGCAACTCCTTCAGTGTTTCCTCCTTTCGTGTTTTCTTCCTTGAAATTAAATATTTGGAGTTTTTGCGGACGACCCGACTGTCATATTTACGGCCCGCGACCCTCATAAACTCTATATGTATTGCAGGAAATGGAGGAAAAATGCTCTTTGTAAAGGAAAGAAAGGAGAAGTGAAAGGTGGATTAACTGTAATGCAAAACAGCAGCTGGAATGTGTTTGTGTGTGTGAGTGTTTGCTTGTTTGTTTGTGTGTGTGCTGTTTGTTTGTGTGTGTGAATGTTTTGTTTGCTTGTGTGTGAATGTTTGTTTGTTGTGTGTGAATGAATGTTGTTTGTTTGTGCGTTGTGCGTGTAATATTTTTTTTTTTGTGTGTAGTTGTTTAAATTTTGTGTGTGTGAGAATATTTGTTTATTCGTGTTGAATATTGTTTGTTTGTCTGTGTGAGTGTGTTTGTTTGTTTTGTGAATGTGTTTATGTTTAAATGTTGTTTGAGTGAATGTGTTTGCTTGTTTGTGTTATGTTTTTAAGTGTACACGTATTTGTGGGTATGTGTATTTGTCTGCCTATTTGTTTAAAAATATACATTAATATGCATGCACTGTCTGTCTCTTTGTT